GGCATCGGGTGTTTTTAACGAGTGTGCCTTGTGTCTTAGTACATTTCTCTGATTTTGAAGACCTACAATTTCTCATCATGTAACCAGGGAGCTGGTGGCCGTGTGACCTTTGTGCGTGTCAGTGTAGCGTGTCGCTCAATACAGTCGAAGATGAGTGTAGTAAACATCTCTAGCTTTTCTTCAGGATCATCTGTAGCCTGAATGACACTAAATGGAAGGGATGTAAAGTCGCGAACGAACTCTTCTTCCTTAAACCCACGCTCTTTTCGAATCATTTTAAACCTTGGAACAAAGCGCTCAGCGCGAATGTTGAGGCACGCGTAAGGTGCATCATGGTCGCTCACATGCTTATGCTTGTGCTGTGGATGTCCTCTTGATAGTTAGGCTTATGCTTGTGCTTCTGCTTATGTCGTAGTGAAAAACAGGCCTTGCAAGTTTGAAAAGCGTTGTATGATTTGTGGCGAAAAGTTGCACAAAGTTGAGTTGGGTGTTCACACAAAATGTTGCCGCAGCCAACAATAGGGGTGGTAAATATGCGCAACAATACTTTAACTTGCAATGCAACCATGTTGCGCGACAACGTTGCCGGTATTACTTGGCTTTTATCGTCAACTGAAAAGGAGGTTTGTTTTCAGCATCATTATATCAAATTAATTCAGCTCAATTATTTGCCTTACATATTATCTTTTACTCGTCAGCCTTGGCTTGAATGGCATCAAAGTTATTATCAAGAGCCTGGGATCTGGATTCTACCTTCCCGTGCCAGGACTTCCTCGCCATGACTTGGTAAAGTTGTCCATGTGACATAGATTATGATATTAACTCCAGCAGGGAACACGTTACTAACATGATGCCTGCGTTTTCAGGCAGGACAACGCAAAACTGCCCAACGGAATCAGCGAGTTATAAGTGCAGCTAAGCAGCTTGGTTTTGAAGTGGTGGACACTTTTGGCATGACTGTGTCCAGATACAAGGACTTCCTTCTGGGAAACTGTGGTTGCCACTTCCATAAGGTGAGGAATGAGTTTAGACTAGTGGTAAAAATTCAGTAACGCAAAACCTTACTATTCGCCTCCCTTGATAAGGAGCAATGTTGGCTAATGTTGGCCAGGGGAGTTCGTGGAATTTCTTGAAGTGCGTGTGACAGCATTACAACACAGACATACACACTGTATCAACAGATGGTCAACGTCAAAAGCAGTCAATTAATGCTCCAAGTTAATGTCGACTCAAGCAAATGCTTATTATATTATTTCAATTTCGTAACCCACCATAAAGGGTAGGAACCCTATTGCAGAGAAGCAATATTACAGCCTGATTTTAAAAGTAGTTCAGTAAACGCCCATTTGAATTTGGAATGTAATCTTCTTTCAGGTTGTGGACATGAGGTCCTTAATCAAGGAAGAGGATGAAGTTCCCTCTCCATTGCTGGAGAACGAACAACACACTGACGTTTTACCCAGGTACCATGTGATGGGACCCATCAATAGCGTTTACTCAGAGCTAGTTATAAACAGAATGTGCAGTTAGAAGTTCAGGAAAAACTTGTCAGTGAGCGCGGCCAGTCACGAGGTAATAAGAAAGATGGATCAAAGATCGATGGATCAACAAACACAAGGAATATTTATGCTGCAAGAAAGCGTTCCGTTTTGTGTATGAGAGACACGAGAAATGTAACGTGACGTCTAACTGTGTTTCAAAACACCTAGCCATCCAATTAGAGGACACTTCACATAATCAACATTTTATAACAAGAAATTTTGAAATCACTGTTAAAACAGGAACTTATTTTGTTTTGGACATGATATGAGAGAATGAAAATACAGTACTGCAGCGGGTTATATAGGTTTACATTTTAGTCACGAAAATTAAAATTGTAAAGTAGTACAATTAATATTTTTTCCTGAATATGTATTGAAATATTTCAAATTATTTTCAAGGTCTTTAACAGAGTTAAGAGGCCAAGAGTATTTATTTGTATCAAAGTTGTTTTATTCGAAATATATGGATGAGAAAAATTACACTATAGAAAGGAATTTGTATTTCTTTATGAACTATTTTGTTACAGTTATTTATAGTAATTAATTACGTCAGGAAACCGATATTCGATTATAAAAATTTAGTTGCTCTCTGTATTATATACTAATATTCAGGACTCTGAAAACTGTGTTGATCGCAGTCTTAAACTGTTCCTTGTTTGGCAAATACTACTGTCCTATCGAGCTCTCTACACTTGCAGCTGTGCCAATGTGGAAGAAGATCCTTACAAGAACCTCATTGAACCAGAAATTAGGGGTAAAATATAAATAAAGTGGAACTGTTCAGCTTGAATTTGTCTTGCTAGGTGTGTTTCTGGTCTTTCAGCTGCCATTAACAGCTATTAACCAAGACTACATTTGTTCCAGCATGGCCCATTCCACTGCAGACAAAGTCTCGGTTGTTTTAGTTGGTACCGGGTGGGGGACTCGGGTGGGGGACTCGGGTGGGGAACTCCGTCGGGGATGCTCGTCGGAAAATTTGAATTAAACCCCTAAAGGAGATCAATGTTGGTGTAGCTCGAGCTTTATTTGACCTCTAAAAGATACAACTTAAAATGGGATAGGCTCGATTATTAGCCGCTGTTTAGGAAAGGAAAATCGTGCCTAAAAACAGAAATGAGAGTGTTTTTCTTGTTATTATTTCTTCGAGCACCCCTTAAAGATACTTTGATTGCCAAAACAGTGGTGTTTCGTCATTAACACCCTAAGTGAGGCCAGAATCCTTGATTTACACCCCTAAGCGAGACGACGAGCATCTACGACCTTTTCATATGGATTCCCCCCGCCCGGGGGTTGGCATAAGACTGTATGTACCGGTAATATGTTGTATAAAATAACTGAGCGCGCGCTCTCATTGGTCGATAGGTGTGTTTAGATGAGAGTATGTAAACACGGTTGTGACGTGTTAGGTTCGCGCGTATTTTTGAGAATTATTTTATACAAGCAACAGAGCATTTTTCCGTGTTTACATAGCCTCATCTAAACACTGGGGGGCTGGGAGAATTCTCGAAAATTATGCAAACCCGAGTCGTAGTCGAGGGTGTGCATAACTGTTTCGAATTCTCCCAACCCTCCTCGTATTTAAATGAGGCTATGTAAACGCGGAAAAAGTGTTCTACTGTTTAAATAACAACAACTGGCTATATTTGCATGACCATAAATACATACAGTCTGAGTGCTGCAAAAGATTTTGTAAACTAAAACTAAAACAGTAATTATTACCGTGAACATACAATAAGGTTATGATATAACAATCTAGTTAAATCGGTTTGATTTGAAAGAAGAATATCGCGTAGATAAAAGCAAGATGAAATGAATTTTGCTAATTGAATATGAACATCACACGATTATGGTAATATGATTATGGAAACATAATATGTAAGTACACAAGATAAAAAGGGCCTATTACTCCAAGCATTTTTGGCTTCTCTATGGATTCCATCGTTTAGAAAAGCTTCGAGTTGGTTACAAGTCAAACTTCCTTGTACTGTAGAAGTGAACGAGAAGGTCTTCATGTTCTCCTTCAATTTTTGTTAACGTCACGCAACTTTACCAGCTCGAGTAGATCGCGTGACGGTTATTGCCACGTGTAAAATTCACTCTAATCGTCAAAGAAAGCCATGTTTTCGGCAAAATTGAAGTTGCAGTCGTCGTCTGATATTTTCGTAGAGTTTGTGCTTGACGTATTTTCTTTCTTTCGTTTAGATCGAGCTGCTGGAAGGCTGTTGTTTCGCTTTCTCCAATTCCCGATCTTCTTAAATGACAAAACCCGAATGAAACTTGAAGATTTGGCAATGACATTCTTTGGCTTTGAGTTACGCTGATTCCAAGAGTCTGCACCATCAATGCTGTTCGTGTGATTCTTTGTTGCTTCATTGTTAAGTAAAGGAATAATAGCGTTTGGTGGCGATTCTGGTGGTCGGCCATTCACCACTAAATCTATCATGTACATCCAGCGGTGTCTCTGTAAAACCGAGTCACACTTGAGCGTGTAAACTTCTCCTTTGGTGATCAAGTTAAAGCGAAAGCTGTACATTCGTCGTTTAGCTAGCACACATCGTGAATCAGGGGTTAGCTCGATGCACTGCTGGAAATTATTGTGTCCCTCGACCGTTTTTCCCAATCGAAAGTAAAGCCCTGAAGCATTCAGCGACCCCCAGTACAGTCGCCATTTGCCAGTGTGATCTTCTTTCTTCAAGAAATCTGCATAGTAGGTTTCTGTTTGATCAGCCATGCTTGCTGTAAAACTTGAGCATCACACGAGACTCAAATATCCCAAAGGACTTCGACGTTTAATATTAGGTAGTGGGCGAAACCTCAATCAGGGTGGGTCCAGCTCGCACTTCGTTAAAACGCGGAGGAGGCAGATGTTTCGCTCGTGTAATTCGAATCCGGCATAGTGATTAGTTGTAAAAAATGTTTTCATTCAAAATTCGTTGAATTGATTCTCGATCATTCCTTGTCACAGTGTTGACAGGCAAAGTAAAACGTTAATTGTGTACAAGCGACTGGCATTTCCGAGTAAAGAGATCGTTCAGTGATAAAAAAAAACCTCAGTCAATGAAATAAACACTACTCGAGTAAAGGAAAGCGGAACCGAGCAGAGTGATTTCGAAAACGATAATAAATTATTCATGTTGTGAACTGCTTGATTACTGAATCACCTAGTCAATATATATTTTTTTCATTATTTACATTTCAGTCGTCTGAAAGAAATTAATGTTGCTGTCTTTGACCAGATTTAAAGACTTAAAAAATATTTTTCTGCAATGAATATGGGAACAGAAAAGTTATATGGAGCCGGAAAATTCAAGGTAAAACTTGTTATCATTCAGAGCTGAAATATCTTTAAACTTATAACCTGTCGAAAGAAAAAGACTTACGACAGAAACCAATAATTATTTTATGATCAGTTTCGATCATCCGATCAAATCAGTGTCTTCAAATAGCCAGTTCTTCCTCAGTCCATGAATTAAAAATTTGCCACTTGTTTATACGGTATGGATTTTTATTTTGTTTACGTCAAACATTCGGTTCTATTTGACGCCATCAGAAATTCTTGACCTTAGGGTGGGAGTCTGATTATTATTTTTTGTAAACTGGCTACAAATGAAATCTTCACATGCTTGGAATAACACCTACATCCTACATAACAGAAATTTTGAACTTTGTCTGCTTTTATATTTAGCGTCTGGTGTACTCTTTGTACCGGACTGAACTGAGGACAGCGGATCAAGTATGCGGAAGGATGAACCTGCTTGGTCCTCACTGCGAATTGCCATCCTTTATTCCAGTGTGTGCAGCTCCAGTCTTAATGGTGTTTCTGTCTATACAATAGATGCGAGAGAAGCAATACTTGTCAAATACACTCAAAATGTTTTAAAAACATTTTAATAAAAGCGGGTTACCTTCTATCGTGCATCAGGCAAGTTATACCGACGTTTCCGCGCATGTTACCGCCCGCGTTTCGTCGATGTTTCGTGGGCTGTAGATTACAAACCAGTCGTTGTTCGGGTCTCGTTCAGCGCGAGGCACCGAATGCATCCATGCGCGCGTGCATGACACGTAGTCTCAAAGTTCTGGCATTTCAAAAACCGTGTGGGTTCGCCGAAACTACGACTGTTTTTCAGTCTACTCAGGTTGTCTACGTGAGCATAATCCTCGTCACAGGATTGGCTATTTCTAGATCCTTCACGGATTTCCGAAACCGAGAGTGACTTAAAAATAACTTGAGGGGAATTACCTTGGAAATAACACCTACATGGTGGCGGTTATTTAAATCTTTTATCTTAATCATCCCTTGACGCACCGTTGTAGCACGAATAGAAACACTCACAACAGCTATTTTCAACATGCCTGCAATGCAAAAATGTTGCGCAACAAGTAGAAATTACTCGGCCTAAGAACGAGTTAGTTATTCTGTTTCTTGTAATAACGCACTTCACTTTTTTGAGCAAGTTTTAATTCCCTTAAGGTAACGTTCCTTTATTTTGAAATCTTAAGTAACAAACACTGTGAAAGTAAAATAAGACGAGATCCAGTGAAATGCTCAGTTTATTGACTGTAAATTTATCATTTTGTCCCGCGCGACACCAAGACACATCGACGTTATTTGCATGTTTTGGTGCCTTTGCTTTCTTTGGACTTGATAATATTTTCTTGAAAAATATGTTGGGGTGCATGTTCTACGAAAAACTTTAAAGAGCTCACTTCTCGGAGTCATGATCAAGCTTGAATTCGAATAGTGTGGTTGATTTAGGGGATGAGCAGGGATGGGGCCGTGCTCAGAGCACTTGTCTCCAAACAATGTGGTCCGGGTTCAGTTTGGTGGTTCTCACTTTACTCCGAGGGCTTTTCTCCCGGTACTCCCGTTTTCCTCCCTCCACAAATTTAAATGTGCTAAGTAATTAACTAATTTACCTTTGGGAGGCGGGAAGGGGTCGATTGACTAAATCGAATATATTGGAGTGGAAAGTGGGGACGGGACATGCGATTGCCGAGGAATTAATAGATAAGCGAGAAATTTGACAGTCATTGCGAAGTGTTGGTGGTTTGCCACTGCTCACTGTAATTGAAAATGCTTGCCTATACAAAAATCCTTTAATTTCTGCGATTTTTGCAATGCTTTTCATTAAAAAAACAAAACGACTGTACGTAGATCAGCGCGCGCCTCGACTTGCGCGCGCAGCACGCGCAAGGCAAGTGACGAAACAGAAGTAGAAATCGTCACAAACGACTGAACTAGCTTTGGTCAGAGAGTTGGAGACTGACAAATCTAAAGGAAAAGCGAAAGGTGTGTCCATCGCAGTTGGTGTATTATCCTTTGTCTCTTTATTCCCGGTGTCATAATTGTTGCAACAAGTGCTGTGGTATCTTTGGTGCGGAAAGTTAACGCTTATGTTTAAAGCGAGTTGGAGAAACTCAACGACATTCACGGAGAAAACACTCCGGGCAAGCAGCATATGGATGCTTCATTTATCGCGTACATAAAAGGCGAGGACACAAAAACTGCTGCACACTCCTGCATATCAGAAATTGTTGAAAATTGGCGTCCTTTTAAGAAACAACCAAAAAGCTCAACAACAAGAAGGCCTAGAAAAGCAAGAAAGACACATCAACTAGAAACTAGAAGTATGGGATTAAAATGCGGCCACCGCCAGTTGAAGAATTGATCTTAAAATCTCGATTGCCAATGTTTGTTTAGCAGAAATTGTTGGTACGAGTTCCACACACATTCCTCAGCAATTGGTATCTGGCATTAATGTCGCAAAAACCTGCTAGTGGCCATGACAGTTTCGACTGCTGTAAGAATACCTCAGCTTGGAAAGGATTGAAGAGAGAAAGAGATCTCCGCAAACACTGTCTTTGCATAATCAATTCTGTGGTAGATGCATTGTTGTTAGTGACGTTGAAATTTGCGCAATTGTTCAACGTACGTTGGCAGGGTTCAGTGAAATTCATGAAGGTAGCATAGTGGACCCGCCTTATACTGAGCCCGCATTTGTAACTTACCTCAAAGGTCAAGAAGCTGCATCTTTAATATGCAATCCTTGCGTAATATTTCCCAAGTCAGGTTCAGGACAGTTGAAGAACATTGCATCAAGCAGTGACATCGTAGGGCATCAGGTAGGAACATTAGATGAAGCTTCAGGGTCTTCTAAATTCCCAGATATGTCACGGACAGCTAAAGATGACACTCTTAACTTCCATACTCTACCAAATACTGATACGGACAATGATTCATATCTGCACAGTTCTTCGCAGGATTATCGTTTTGAGAAGGAACTGGTAGCTGCTTCACCAATTGATGGCCAGCAGGCTGACCACAAAGGAAACATTCTAGATGGAGAAGAAGGCACCCAGTCATGTAGATGTACCTACTCCAACTACGCTAGTTAACAGAGAGGAAAAAGGGAAAATCATTCCATGTTGAGTTAAAAAAAGAAGAGAAAAAAATGTTCAGTTCAACCAACCGTCTTGGGCACGCTTCGGTTCGTGTGATTGTCAAAGAAAATGATCAAGAGAAGACATCATTAAGGTTCGCGCATGTTTGATGATGAATGTGGAGATGCACACCTCATCGCATTCTATGAGACCAATGGAAAATCATCAGCTTATCATCAGACTGTTGTGAACCCAACGGTCTGTAATGTAGAGCAAACGAATTATGGCGAAGTTTGTGAACTACGGAGGTCATGGGACGTCCATGCTTCTATCAACAGCTACAAGATATCAGCAGAAGGTTCGGCAGAGCAGCCTGAGGTGACATTATTTACTGAATATCCTGAGAGGCAATGGAAATGGATGGAGATCAATGCATATGGGCTATTGACCAAGTGTGAGTGTACAATCATAGAACGGCATTCATGATAGAATGCTAGTAGATTTATACTAATAAGGAATAGTGTTTCAGTTTGGAGAACTGACGGTAACTTAGCAGCCCTTGGTTAGTGCAAACATTATTGAGCAGATAAAACCGATGAAAACAGATCAAGAATCATGTACAGAGGAAGTACAGAGGCAATGGAATGAAACCAAAAGTCTGTTTCAGAAGCCAACCATTTGGAGTGTGCCAACCATGCAGCGGAGGAGAGGATTGAGACAGATGGAGAGTCCTCATTGGCCACAACCTGTATTGGACAGCTAGAGGCGATGAAAGTTAGCCATGCCTTTGTGCGAATCAGCTTATTGAGAACTGGTCAAAAGTTAACTGTAAGCTGAGAAATGACGCGGTTTTTTTTTTTACTGATAGCTGAGATTGGAGATCAGCAGAATGTGGAACTCTGCAGTCTCATCCTTCAGGGCGTTCTCCACTTTTCAATATGGCGGGCAGGAGGAGCCGCCACATTGAAAATCATCGAGAAGCCCCTGGGGACGAGGTTGGAACTCTGGGATTTCTGATGGCAGGGACGAGTATGCGCGGATAGCGCGGAGAGCAAAGAAGAGTGATCAGCTACACGTTGCTCTTAGGTCGCGTTCGCTCAGTGTATGGACAAAGTTGGTAAACCAATAAATTCGAAAAAGAAACCGAAAAAGCCGAATGAAACTTCGTCCTGCGTTTCAACAGAGCAAATGTCCCTTTCCCTTATGATCATGTTGAAACATTGCCCAGCACTCGCCGTTTCACGATATGTCTTATTCTCCGGGACTTTCAAACACTTAGAAAGCGTCTTCTACTTCTGAAACCGCAAATTACAAACGTCAACATTTAAACTGACTATACTCTCAACTGAGAGATGTGGTGGAATAAACGAAAAGGGTCATGAAATAAAACTGGAGATTGGAGTTATAAGACGCAAATCAGACCCCTGTGTCGAGTATTTCGTAACCACAAGGTAGCAGTTTATTACGTAACAGATCTAAAATCGGTGCATGTCAGCGTTTTGGTAGGAATATACTCAGTATTTCCCTTGTGGATACATTCTAAAATTTTTATGTCCCAAAATAACTTTCATGCTGTTAGAAATACCAAATTCCTGGTATGTTGTCATTAACAAACCAAGGAAAGCAGGATGTTTCCAAGATGAAGCAGTGTGAAAAAAAAGAGCTACAAATGTGAAAACATGAAACTTAGCAACTCTGATATCTATTATAGTTTCAAACTACTTTTAAGAAAT